GTGAAAATTTTTGACAGTTTTCTGAAAAGGAGCTAGAACCAAAGGAAAAAAGAACATCCCACAACAGACTATTGCAACTTGTGTCTGGAGGGACCAGTTCCCTGGCTGAAATGCATTTGATCCCTTTTAAGTCTGCACAGGCAGGATGCTGTCTGTGAATAGAAATCTGTGGTGTGGGGTGGAAGAATGCAATTCTCCTGAGCAGCTCAGATAGTGGCTTAATAGCAGTCCTGTGGATCAGGTCAGCAGCTCATGTGTCTCCAACAAACCTCTTGCCCCATCTTGACCTCTCTAGTTACCAGCTGCAGTGGCGGTCCCACCTACACTCAGCATGACCTGAAAATTCCCATCGTGAGATGCTCTGGTCAGTCTTTTATCCTGTATCAGATGCTGCCCAGCTGCGATGGGCTTTTCCAGGATGGGATTATGTTGAGAAGAGCTTTCTCAGTATGGGATGTATGTTTCTGAATAGTAATGTCTCTTTTTAAAAAAAAAAATTATTTCTACACTGAAGGGGTTTGGGGTTTTTTTGTGCTGTCCTGGATAAAAAAATTCTTCTAGTCGCTTTGCTCACCTGCTGGGAAGCCAAGGGGTTATGCTGGAGAGTGGTGTCCTTAACAAAACTCCACGCGAAGCACTGGAATAGATCTTGTTTTTGCAGTAAAAGCTGGCTTCCCTGCATATGTTGTCAGCACAGAGCTAATCTTGAAAAACTTCTGAAGTTTACACAAGGCAAATTTTTTGCGTTTCTGTGGGCACTGCAGCACAGCAGTGCTTTGGAGTTCAAAGGGCAGATCTGGGGAGAGGGCTGAGATGCCGTCTGACCGTAGCTTTCATCTTCCTTTCAGAGTTATTCATGCGTGCTTCTTTGGCCAGCTCTGTCCTGGCCTTTCTGGGAACCAGACAAGCAATTTTGTCTGTGCTGGAGCAGCAGAGCAGCAGATGGGGTTTAGGAGAGTGCCTGCCTGGTGTGGATCTGGCCCCGCGGCAATGTCTGGGGTTTTCCTCCAAAAGGTCTTCAAGTATCCAGGCACTTGAATCATAGAATCATAGAATCGTTAAGGTTGGAAAAGACCCTTAAGATCATTGAGTCCAACCATTAACCTGACACGGCCAAGCCCGGCCGGCAGCCTGCGTGGAGAGGCTGAGTCATTATTTTATTAGCAGGCTCCACAACTACTTTAATGTGGGCTTAGGCTGCAAAAACAAAAACATACATAAAAGCATTTGGAATTACTTCATAAAATACTAAATCACAATATTAACCGACTGACCTTTGCTCTATACAGACCTGCTAATTTCAGCAATTACAGCCAACAACTTGAACATATCAAGTGGGCAACTGTTTAACAATAATGACATCTGCTTGGAAAATCCAATTATGTCTAAACATCTTTAAATCCCCACTAGGGGATACCTGCTTTCTTTTTGCAACTGTTAGTCTCTGCCTAATAGGATTTTAAACTCGCAGCCTGCTGCACACTGTGGTGGCAGTGGCCCCTCTCCCTGGAGTGGCAACAACAGGACCGCCATCCCATTAACCGGGGAGCGAGAGTCTCTCCTCGGACAGTGATGGAAGCGGTTTGGGTTTTTGACACCCTAATGTGATAGACGGGTGCATTAGCTGCTTCCCCTCGCCCCCCCCGCCCCCCCCCCCCCCCCCCCCCCCCCCGCCTGTAGCGTTGCATGGGGTTGGTGTGACCTAAGTGCGGGACCCGGCGCTGAGCCTTGTTGAATCTCATACAGCTGGTCCCGGCCCATCGATCCAGCCTGTCCAGGTCCCTCTGTAGGGCCGTCCCAGCCTCCAGCAGATCGACACTTCCACCCAACTTGGTGCCATCTGCAAACTGAGTGAGGGTGCACTCAATCCCCTCATCCAGATCATCAATGAAGATACTGAACAGGACCAGCCCCAACACTGAGCCCTGGGGAACACCACTCGTGACCGGCCGCCAACTGGATTTGACTCCATTCACCACCACTTTCTGGGCTGGGCCATTCAGCCAGTTTTTAATCCAGCGGAGAGTGCACCCATCCAAGCCATGAGCAGCCAGCTTCTCCAGGAGAATGCTGTGGGAGACAGTGTCAAAGGCCTTACTAAAGTCCAAGTAGACAACATCCACAGCTTTCCTCTCATCCACTGAGTGGGTCACCTTGTCATAGAAGGAGACGAGGTTAGTGAAGGAGGACCTCCCTTTCATAAACCCATGCTGTCTGAGCCTGATCCCTCAGTTGTCCCACACATGCTGCGTAATGGCACTCCAGATGATCTGCTCCATGACCTTCCCCGGCACCGAGGTCAGGCTGACAGGCCTGTAGTTCCCCAGATCCTCCTTCCGACCCTTCTTGTAGATGGGTGTCATGTTTACTAACTCCCAGTCATCTTGCTTTCAAAACGTCTCCATGCCCCAGCAAGCAATGTGAGAGTGTGTCCGGAACGGCTCATCTGATATGAAAGTGCCAGTTTCACAAATCCCTTGGTAGATCTGGGTGTCTACTCCCATTCAATGTCTCCCTATCAGAACCATCCAGGCATCCCTGACAAGCTGAGCCAGTGATTTCCAACAGCCGTGATGTCTCCACTTGCCACCAGTTTGACTCACGGAAGCCCCCTTGTTTGCTCTGCAGACTGTGTTTGCAATAGTCCTAATCTAAACAGCCCAGATGAAAGCGCTGGGCGCTTCTCTGGGGAATTCACTGCATGCCAGGAAGCTCAGTGTGTGTCCTGCTGTGCTCCACATCTTCCCTGCTTCCCTTGCCTTTAAGCTGGGCTCCCAATCACTGTCATCTATCTATCTCCTTTTTTTTAGTGAAAAAATTGTTTTCAGCACCTTGCTGCACTTTCTAATTCCACCTTGTTTTGAGGAAAAGCCAAAGGAAACCTGTTACAATAATTTTTTAATATTTGCCATTTAGAAATTGTGTTTGAGAGTGGAGATTCAGAGGACACTGGCTGCTTCTGTGGCAGCCAAAACCGTGCCATTAGGGAAGGTTACCTCACAAAAATAATGTATGTCTTCATCCTATATTGTCCCGAGTCTTGCCAAGCTTTATGTGCAGTAGGAAAGGAGGCATCATTCTGCCAGTTAAACAACTGGAGTATTTTATTAAGGCTGGCAGACAGCTCCACTTTCCGAATAGGAACAGATTTGCCGAGTGATTTGGCATGAGCTTGGTGCTTCCATGGGGACTCTCCTTGTCCAGCTGAATCGAAGCTGTTGCTCTTGCCCTACTCAGCTATTCCTGCCCAGAGCAAAGTTTGGTATAAAAAAGGACTTTTTGCCATGCTGTTGCTGCAACCAAGTGGCCTGAGCAAATCCTTCACATTTTTTCCCTTAGTATTTCACCACAAAGCTTTCACAAGCCGCGCATGCAAAATTGCCATAGCATATACCTATGCAGGGGCTTCCCTGAAGGACAAGGCCCCATGATTTCACCCAGATGTCAATCCCACTTGGTTCAACAGGAGTTCATGTGTTATCAGATGTGTGTTTTAATTTTAAAGATGGTTGCAAACACTTCTGCAGAGGTAACAGGCAACATGCTGATAAGATGGCTGCTCAGACAATTGACAGTTCAGCCACATCTCTGAAGGTAATCATATGTCAGAGATGAAGCTAGTTATATGCCTGGCTGGTGATGAGTGTTTATATGACCTGTCTTAGCCCCCGAGAAATGCAGGGTACTAGGCAGTTCACGGGGCTCACTGAAAGAGGTTTTGGGTGTTTCTCATGGCTTGGCTGAAAGGCAAGCTATAGTTGATGCTCATTAATGCATGCAAGTATTAATCCAGTGTTAAGGAGCCCCAAGGAAGCCATCGTTGTCTCCTGGGGATAAGCAGGGTCTTGAGGGCAGCCATGGCCTCACCTCACGTCACCTCACATGGCCTCTCTGCCCTGCTCCAGGCATGGGATAACAGGGCGTGAAGCTCATGCTTCTCTGCAGGCCTCTTTTTTCAGCTTTCATCATTTTTCTGATGGGGTTGTCCGGTGGGTGAGCATGCAGGTTTCTTCAGGTGAGCTGCCATACCATGATGTCAGTGTAGTGTAGACATGCTAGAGCTCGCTGGCTCTGGTGCCTCAGGAGAAGCCTAGCAGCAGTGGCATGGAGCTCAGTGTGGGTTTCGCTATCGAGGAGAACACTTGGACACAGCCTTGCCAGGGCTAGCATTAGCCTGGTCCTGGCTAACAAGCTTGGGTGAGCCTGCTCAGCCTGCAGATGTATCGCAGGGGCCTGACTCTGCACTTTGCTGGTACTCAGTGGTGTTGGCTTTCTTTCAGGAGCAAGTGCATTAGCCATGGAAGTGACTTCCCTTCTGCTAGGTCATGTGGATGTTTCACCTGAACATCTGTCCTGCTCCCTGCACTCCTGGCAGCTGCTGTGAGCGTGTTTAGCACTAGTATTTCTGTTTGTTTAGGAGGCTTTCTCCAGGGTGAAACTAATATCTTGTCTCAGTTCTGAATCTCTAAATCCAAAGTAACTTGATATACCAAGATAAACTCCTCTTTATATCTCTGCCACTGTCAGCAGAGTCTGGCTATACAGAGCTGAGCTTAATAAATGGTCCCAGGTCCCCATTTACAAGGAGAAGCCCTTAGCTTGGACATATCTCAGCCTCTTGTAGAGAGAGCAGTCTCAGCAGCTGCTTTCTCTCCTCCTCTCTCCATCTCATATCTCATGAGAGCATCTTTCCACCCAGGACTGTACAAGGGGCTGGAGTAGCTGAGTTCAGAGGATGTGCAGCTGGAAAAGAGGCTGGACCTCATCACTGATAGACCACGTTGCACACAGATAAGCGACCTTTCCGATTTCCCTTGCACTGGGCTTTCCTCTCATTTCAGCTGTTTTCCTTAGCCTCTGCATTCAGATTTTCCTTGGTTATCCCATCACTGCTCAGCCCAGTGGTGTCAAAAGGGTGTCAGAGGTATAGGTGTCAGGGGGTGCAGCATAAACTGCTGTGTTCACTACATCACCAACTCAGCTGGTCTTTCTTGTTACAGCTGAACAAGCTGGAGGAGGCAGCAAATGCAGCTCACACCTTCTTCATGGCAAACCCTGAGCACATGGAGATACAGCAGGACATCGAGAACTACAAGACCATGGCAGGGAAGGTCAGCTTGATTGACCGGGAGGCCAAGCAGCACATGGTGAGTCTGAGCTAAACTGGTGCTTGGGTTAAGTGTCAGGCAGGCTGGAGAGAAGAGATGTAGGAGGCCAAGAGAGCATCATCTATGAATGGGGAGATTCTTGCCGAGGTCCGTATTACAATACAGCAAAACAAACTTTCCCTTTCAGCACTCTCCTTTAAGGCAAGCCAGCTCCTGCTTTTTCAAGGCACTCTCTGCTCTTTGTTTGATGGCTATGTCCCCAACACGGTCCCTCTCTTCAGGGAACCCTGGGAAAATCTGTGGCTGTGAACACGCACCAGCAGGCAGCTTTGATGGATGCCTCCATGGGTACTGACGGACAGATCTTGGCTCACACGTGTTTCTTTTGAGCTGGGTTCTCCCACCTGGGCAGGGTACATGCCCATGAGTAACTGTGCTGGTGAGGGTGCAGGGTGGCAGGCAGAAGAATGCTCTTAGCCAGGCTCTTTCCACCTCCCCAAAGTGAAAGGACAACACAAATGGCAGGGCCACCCCCAATTTTCTGATTTCACAAGACGCAAGGAAGGAGAAGTGGCCATTTGGTGTAATTAATGGAGGTTCTAACACAGATCTGCCTAGGTCAAGTGCAGTCATTCAGCATTGTTGGGTAGGAGGGTTAAAACAGAGAAAAGGAGTGTTTTTTCACATAATGCAAAATCCAGCAGTGACACTGAATATGCCCTGGGTATGGAGATGTTCAGAAGAGCATTTAGGCAAATTTACAAGGTTCCACTGGTCCAAAGGTCCATTGATGGCTTAAATGTGGTTCTGTACAACCGCTTATGTCTGGTAGGTACCAGGGGAGATTGTTCTGCCCCTGCCTGCTTGTACCTTCTTTTGAAAATCAGCTGCAGTTGGCAAGGGTAGGATGCTGTGGTCTGAGCAGCTTAGCCTGCTCATGGTCTTGTCTTCTGCCTACCTACTTTGCAGGAGGACTACAGTGCCGGGGTAAGGCACTATGACAAGGAGGAGTACGAGCTGGCCATTGACTTCTTGGAGCGCGCGCTGAAAGGGTACTACTCTGAGGATGAAGATTGCCAGATCATGTGTGAGGGACCACAGAGATTTGAGGAGCATGAGTACTTGGAATACAAGGGTGGCCTCTACGAAGCTATTGCAGGTGAGATCTTTTTGCGTCTTTAGGGTTCTCACCCTTGGCCCTGCAATGTTTTTAGTTATTGAGTTTGGGCCTCTGGCTGGATTTGGTGAAGTGTCTTCCCTTCCATCACTGCTGTTGGTGGGTAATGCTGCAGGAGGCACTTGTAAGGCCAGAAGATGCAAATACAGAGGACAGGGAACTAGAACATCTCATTTTGGTCCTGAATAGAAGCTGGACTGGAAGAATTGCATTTCCAGATGTGTGGAGCATTTGCAGCTTTCTGTTAAGAGCTGGAAGTATAGGTGCTTTAACATAAACTGCCTCCATTTTCCCCTGTACGCTGTCTCACATACCTCACTTGAATCTAGACATTGCTGGCCCCTGTTTATATTTTCTCTGTTTTTTCAGTGCATATGAAGAGAGCAGCACAGTCCTCTTGGCCACACTCCAGATGGCCAGGAAAGTTGCCAAAAAGGCTCAGAACATAGATTTCCTCCCTGTCCAAAGGGATGGATTTGTCATTAGCAGAGGCCCACCTAATTATGATCTTCACTGAAAGCTCTGGAGAGAATTGAACATTGCTATGTAATCTTCAGTTTTGCATGTGTGGCTCTGAGCCAGAGGGGATTAAAATGGTTCATTCTCAGTAGAAATGAGATTACATTTAATTAGTCGTAACGGAAAGAAGAGCAATAAATTAAGGTTTGTTTGGTGACAGAAATCGTATTTATCTGCTCGTGGTCTTGGAGTTGCATCAGGCTCTGGAGTTTTGCTTCTTGTGTGGAAAATACTTCACTCAGATGCAGATTGTTTTTTGTTTTTGCATAATTCTGTTTGTGTTGAGACAGGAAATCTAATTGAAATGACCAAGATGGGAAACCACCAACATACCAGATGGGAAGCTGCCTTTGTTGGGTTTACTTACCCAAGGAAAAAAGGAGTATTGTAAGGGCTGACTTGGTACCGGTATAACTGTCAGCTGATCATGCCTGCTTTTAAAGCCATGACCAGAACACCAAGGGCCATATCAAGCCCTCCAAGAGAGCAGCCTTCAGTGGCAAAGAAAACCCACCTTCCTTCTTACTGGAAGCCACTGCTCATTGAACAGGTTTTAGTCTCTGTTAAATTGTTTCTGTGCTGTGCAAGTTCAGCGCAGCCCCAGCGAGCAGAGAAGGTGTTTCTGTGCTGGACCAAGTAGAGCGCAGACATGGTCATGGTGTGGTGGTCCTCAGCCCAGCACGTCACCTGGAAGTGCAAACAAGCCAAATGATCTCTGCAAGCGTGGTGACTTAGCTTGGCCAGATGTACCCAGGAATAACAACTCCAAAACCTAGGGCTGTTCAGGCACCCAAAGAAACAAGGAAGTAAGGGCACATGGAGGGAAATAAGCTATGTAGTGCAACTGCTTTCCTATAGGGAATGGAGTGGTTCATTATGGGACAGCATAATCCAGTGTTCACCCCTGGACCAAGGGCGCTGAGACCCAGATGTTTCAGCAGGGAGTGGGAGCACTAACACACCAAGAAAAGAGAGTTTATGTTTCTTCAAAACTCTTTTCAGTCCCAGGCTGGTTTGCTATGCTGCTGTATGGGGTTGAAACACTCTCACCTCTCCACCCCAGGGACAGATGCATTTCAGTGAATTGATTCCAGTCTATATAGCCTGTTTCTAGGGCACCTTGACAGTACCAAGAAAAAGCAGTGCTTCTCAGTGATAGATTATTCCAGGTCTAGGATACCTAAATAGGTTTAAATTACAATAAAATTATTTATGTCCTTTTCCTTCTTGCTTTCCTTAATGTAATACCTTGGATGTGTATGGTAAATCAAATAACTACTCAGACTACCTGACCAGAGCAAATGGGGACTGTTCTGAGTTTCCACTTGATTTCATCACAAATTCCTCAGGCTGTTTTTTTGGCAGCTCTGCGAAATGCTTTGGTAGCTGAGCACATGTTTTTTTCCAAGCCTGTGTTTGTTTCTTAAGGTTTTTAATGGTGTACAGAGACAGAGCAAGTAAAGTAGATTTGTAAGTACATTGCAGCAAAGGCTCCAAACTGGAATCAGATGTCAGCGTTGGCTTTGAAATTGTACAGCTGATACAACGCCTATATTGTGGACTCCCACCAATTAAGAAACCTATCTGCTAATGGCAGATGTTTACCATGTGCTTGCGTTTCCCTGGAAGATACCTCATCTTTGAGAAGCAGCAAACACGGGGATTCTGCTGCCAATATTTGCACCTTAGACCTTTCAGACTCGCAGCGCAGGTGCCATGCTTGGCCACCAACACCTCTTATCTAAATCTCCCTGTGCCCTCAGGAGCTTTCTTGCTGTGGAAAGGAGAGATTAAGGAAGGGAGTGTGGAGATGGCTTTTGTGTGCAGCACACGTGGTCACCCTGTCTTCACATCTCGGCTTGCTTTGTGGGTGTCCTCACCTTTGGTTCAGCTCTTGGGGTTGAAGAGCTACCTGCCACCTGCACGTCCCTGCGTCCCTCCGGCTTTCCTGGGCAGAAGCAGCAGCTCCCGGCACATAAAAGAGATGCTCAAGCTCCCTCTACAGTTGACAGAAGGAAAAAGGCATTTCTCAAGGGGGGCAAAAATGTGACTGCAACTCTCCATTGGCTTTGGGGAGGAGCCTGAGCTCTTTCTCTAGGTACGCAGTCACCTGCTGGCCCAGAGCAGCATGAGTTGCATGTCCTTCAGTTGGGGAGATTTACTCTCTGTGTGTCCTGGTCTCAGCACCGTCACCATCCTTCTCAGTTCAGACCATCTTCTTCTTTTCTTGGCAGATCACTACATGCAAGTTCTGGCCTGCAAACACGACTGTGTTCGAGAACTCGCCACGCGTTCAGGCCGTATCTCACCCATTGAAAATTTCCTTCCCCTCCATTATGACTACTTGCAGTTTGCCTATTACAGAGGTAAAGGCTGTCTTTCTGTTCCTCATAGCACTTGCTGAGTTTTCTGGCATTTTGTACAAGTCTGAATTTCTTCATGTGGAAGTTAGGATATTTCCCTATGATGTCTGTGCTACAGTGATGCACTGGCATGGTCTGAAAGAGTCAGGAAGGAAAGGACAATGGAAATTGTCTCTTTTAGAGTCCTTTTCACAGAATCATGGAATCATAGACTCATAGAATCATTAAGGTTGTAAAGGACCTCTGAGATCATCAAGTCCAACCGTTAACCTAAATGCCTGGTCCACCTCTAAACCATGTCCCTAAGCACCACATACACAAGTTTTCTGAATACCTCCAGGGACTGTGATTGCACCACTTCCCTGGGCAGTCTGTTCCAATGCCTAATCACTCTCTCCGTGAAGAAATTTTTCCTAATATCTAATCTAAACCTCCCCGGTACAACTTGAGCCCATTTCCTCTTGTCCTATTGCTTGTTACCTGGGGGAAGAGACTGACCCCCCACCTCACTACAACCTCCTTTCAGGTAGTTGTAGAGAGCAATAAGGTCTGCCCTTAGCCTCCTCTTCTCCAAATTAAACCACCCCAGCTCCCTCAGCTGCTCCTCATAAGACTTGTGCTCCAGACCCTTCACCAGCCTTGTTGCCCTTCTCTGGACACGCTCCAGCACCTCGATGTCCTTCTTGTAGTGAGGGGCCCAAAACTGAACACACTACTTGAGGTGTGGCCTCACCAGTGCCGAGTACAGGGGTACGATCACCTCCCTGGTCCTGCTGGCCACACTATTCCTGATACAA